TTTTGCCCATAATCACAGCATGTAAAAGTTCACTAAATTTATGCGGTATGTAGACTTACACTTGAGAGAGATCTAGGCCGTAGGAAGAGAGCCGTTGCATAATTTTTTGAAACTTTTGATACTGATGTTTATCTTTATTTAGACACCTTTGGAATACCAGGAGATGGGATTTTATGTGAATATACTCAATTAAGGGGCACGAGAAAGTGTAATGATCAGGACTTTGCAAAATTCCCCACATTTGTAGATATCGGAGTTCGCCATATTTCTTTGCGCAGAAATATGTGGGGAAGGGTCCGTGTCCTTTTATATAGTAATTTAATAAAGGATTTGAATACAGTGCGAAGCTTACGTTGAGGATCAAGTTATATGTTCGTCTTCCATGTGGAGCATTGTTTCACAAATCTTGCCAAGATTTTGAAGCAAGTTGTTTTAGTTGGTACTTGAAATTTGAGCGAGGTCATGGAAAGATGATTTCAGTACCATCTTGATTAATAGCTGCTTCTTTGGCTAATTCATCTGCCTGATTACCAAAATGGCCACTATGTCCTTTGATCCATGAAATTTGAATTTTGTAGTTTGGAATTTTGCCAAGAAGAGAATTTATGCTGGAAATCAACGGAGAGGAAGGTAAGGGATTCTTAATCGCTAAAATAGCTGCTTGGGAGTCAAATTTTATGCTAAATTCTTTGAGATTTTTGAGAATAGCTATTTCAATCGCTGCTTTTATAGCTGACAACTCCGCTTGGAAAATACTATTATTATTACGGAGATGGCCTTTTCATTTGATGACATTTGAAGGAGTAATTTGAAATTAGATTGCGGAACCTACTTTTTCTTCAATTTTTGATCCATCAGTATAAGCAACTGGAGATGAGCTACTTGAATTTTCTTCAGACATGGGTAGTTTTATTTTGCTGAAGCGAAACGTTGGATGAATAAGATAGGAGTTAATTTTCTTTTCATAGTTGGATGGCAGAAAGTATTTGGTTTTTAAATTCTGATGCTTAGTTTCATATAGGCGCTTTCCATTTCTACACTGATTGATAGTGAAAGCGTACCAGCTAAAATATCAAGTGCTATATTTGAAGTTGTGCGATACGCCCGAGTAATGCAAAGAGTAAAAAGCCTTTGAATTTAATTTAAACTTTTAATCTCTCTCACTGTCATTGGTTGTGCCCAAATTCCGGCTTCCTAATTTACCATTTTTGATATGACTGTTTGTAGACGGATACGTGTTATATGGGGATTTAAACCCCAGTTATATCCATGCATACGTTGTAAGCAGCTAGTTATTGATGTTTTACGAAGTTTAATATTTTGTAGATGAGGAATTCAGGAGAATTTACTGTCGATTGTTAAACAGAGGTACTTGATTGTATTCATAGATTTGATCATTTGATTATTAATTTTTAGAGCTAAAGCTTTAGTTATAATTTGCCCTGGTTTATGGATCATTAAGACTTGAGATTTACTATGTGAAATTTTCAGTTTTTGAATTTTGCAAAGTTGGTTAAAAATCTGAAGTGCTTTGTTGCAATTATGCTGCAAAATATCTCTGGCACTGCCACTTGTAATAAAAGCAATATCGTCTGCAAAAGTTACAATTTTTTAGTAGTCTGGACATTCCCCCCCGGGGGTCGACGTAGAGAACTCTGCGAAGCTACTGGCTAGGATCTGTACCTAGGCAGTCTCGGCCACGGGGGTATAAAACTTATGAACTTGGTGGTTCTGAAGGCTCTGGGAAAGGTCACTTATTGGCCGGCCTCGGAGTCTGGCACGTCCTAGCGCGGCGTGGTGCTAGTAACCCGTGGGGATTTCCCCCGGGGTCGCTGGGTAATGTCCCGCTGCGACGGGCTCGCCCGAGCGACTGGCAGGAGCAATTGACGACCGGTGCTGCCTGGTGACGTATCCAAATGGTGCGCGGCTCTGCTGGAGGGTAATAGTGGAGGTTGAATCTCCACGACGTGCCCGAAGGCAGAGTCGACCTGTAGTGAGATTCAGTTACTCGGAACAGGGAAGCCGAAACCCATAGTAGTCTGGACATGATAGGCAATGATGTTGTTGAAACTGATATTCCAAAGATCTGCATTCATGCAAGACCCCTGGGGACATCCTCTGACTTGATTACGCACAATTTCGGTGTTGTTGTAAAGAATTTATGCAGTATTTTTCTGAAGTAATCTTGAATAATTAGAAATAAATTCTGAAGGCACTTAAAGGAACGCAGCGATTGTAAAACTGTTGGCCACCATAAAGAATTAAAAGCTGATTTTAAGTCGAGACATATTATTGCAGAATGAAGTTGCTTTATTTTGTTGTTTCTGACTTGATCAATAGCTGATTTAATTGCACGAATTGTTCAAAGTAGGCTTTGAAATCCAAACTTGTCATTGCTTATTAAGTTTTTGCTGTAACCATGAAATTTTAGGCGGCCGATGAGATATCTTTCCAAAGCTTTTCCCAGGGCTAGGAGATTTATCGGACGCTAAGATTTAGGCTCATCGGAGCTTTTATTCTTTTTATTGAAGGGTTATTATATTACACATTTTCAGACAATCAGGAAAGGCCGAGAACTCTGTACATCGATTGGAAAAACTACAGATTATGTCAGGATGGGCTTGATTGATTAATTTTATAACGTGATTATCGTTGCCATTTGGACCTGGTGCCAAGTTATTAACCTAATTATTTGCTTGATTTCTTGTTTTGAGGATGGAATATTGTTATCTGTTTGCGGAATGTCATTGCAATTACAGATATGGTTTGAGTAGGAGACTCTTCAGCTGGATCATCTTTTAGAAAGACAGAGTCAAGAATTTCATTTAGAATTGAGAGAGTGGCATTCTGAATTTCAGCAGAGCTGGAAAGCAAATTTGAGGAAGTTCGATTTGTGACGGTTTAAAAATTTTAATACTGGCGATTTTGCATAAGGTGCCATAAATTTCTTTACTGTTGGAACAATAATTATGCCAACTTTTTAATTTAGCAGATTGTCTTAATTTACCATCGATTATATATTCAGTTATCGATTTCATTTTCCGTTTCAGTGCTCTCGTCTTATGCTTCTGAGTGCGTAACGTTTTAGTCATTCGATTTATATGAAAGTAGGGGTTTTCAGATCATATTGGCAATGTATTTTCACCGATTTCTTGGATTTTTGTTATAAATTCTTCTGTTGCTTTATTTAGATCTTCTTTTGTTGCACTGAGTTGGAAGGAGGAAGTCTTTGGAAGTGCGGATTGTTGAATTGGCTTAATAAAGTTCTTTTTAGCCCAAAGAGCGTTAACCTGGAAGGGCTATTAATTTTGTTTTGGCATTTTGCGTTGGTTCACTAAAAATATCAGTTTACTTTTCAAATTGTTGCCACAAAATATGCGAGCCCTATATTATAGTTAAAAGAAATTAAATAAAGAAGGCTCTGCATAAATGTATGTATGTTTCTCGCATTGTGATAAAACAACGGTACTTGGAGCCATCAGTTTCAATAACGTAATCTTTTACCGAATATGGACATCTGGAAGTCCTAATTTGAAATTTGTTTTATTATCGATTTTATATTTTGTAATACTTTAACGAATTTTTGAAGAATGGTAACACTGTACAAAACAACAACAACAACAAAAAAAAAAAAAAAAAAAAAAAAACTCCAGCGCGCTAGACTGTGTATCGGAAATTCTAAAGATATGTTCATTTTAAAATTATTTTGCGATACTGATGTTTAATTGAATTTTATGGTGTAAGTGCGAAGAACATGATATTTAATCAATAAAGGTAACCCACAAAACATTAGAAAACGCCCCTTTGGGCATAATGTAAAATCCGAAATCGTTCAGATTTTTGTTTTATTCCTAGTCTTTCTTTTTAGTAATTTTAAACATCTCTGATAGAAGAACAATATAAACATCTCTGATAGAAGAACAATATAAACATCTCTGATAGGAGAACAATATTATTGATGGGTTCTGATAAATTACATCTAGTGATGGATTTACGAAGGAAGCTCACCTCACTTGAACTGTTGAGAAGGCCCCTTATCTTAAGACACAAGGTATTTTATTATGTTTTAAACATCAGCTAAGGATTTAAAGATCCCTTGGAAGGCTCGGTTGCGACTTAGCCATCTCATAAATCTGCATCTAGTTACATTCATGCATTTACTACTCTCATTGTAATGGGTTTGGCCACAAAAGAGAGGGAATAAAGAAGCGTTTTATTTTGATAGAAAACGGGATAATATACGACCACAGAAGTCTATAAATGACAAATTAGGGTCAGAAAGCACACTCTGAAATCTTGTTATCGATTAGCGAACTCATCTTAGTAGCTATGCAAAGTATATTTGTAAGTATACTATATTTGTAAGTATAACATAATTACGGACTAAAGTGCTAGTGAAGTACACAGTATTTACTGCTTACATGTATACTTGTAGAGAGCATGCCCAGTCATATTTCTGCAATTCAGGACTACGCACATAACTATTAATTATTAGACTTGTAACCAATTTTTCTGGTACATCAGTCAAACACTTAGTAGGTCCCTGTTGTGTATACATAGTAATAAGTAAATTAGAAGTTGTACATATATGTAATAAAAAGTATAAAAAAGAATAAGTAATAATTCGCTTTCAATTTTTGCTGACTAAATTTCAGTGAATAACAAAATTTAAAAGAGTTTTCTTCATAATAATTAATAATAAATTCTTCAAAAAATATTGTTAACATTTGGTAATAGAACTACTAAATTCTTAGCCAGTTTTAAAGTAAAGTGTGGCTGATTATTCATTCCCAAAGTTAGTAAAAAATAAAATTCTATTATCTCCCATAGACTAATTGTCACCAATTCTATTTGAAATTTAAATGAAATTTTTTAGTCATCAAATAAGCTCCCAAGTTGGAAAAGTAAGAATAACATGTTAACTTTTGTATTAAGCAATATACTTTTTTTTCAAAAAGTTTCCGTATGAATTTCAAGTAAGCAGACAATTAAAAACATTATTTCCAAATTATTTACAAAATATTTTATTCAGTAAATTACAAAATTTGAGAAAGAAAACTGGTGCCATCGTCAAACATTGACTAGCAATTAAAGCACAGCTTTAAGCGTTTCTAAAATTGACAATAAAAATTACAACTTTCACAGCACAATTTTCACAGTTAAAACACGATTATTTGGCATACATAATTTCTTTGGAAAATAATTTTAAGATACATCTAATTACAAAAGGATTTGTAAAATATTTTCTTTAACAGATAACCGTTTAAAATACTTTAGTAAAAATATTACAATCTCATAACGCTAAATCATCAGTAAATGAATTCATGCAACTGCAATTGATGATTTCTCAAGATGTGAAAAATGCAATCACATTTCATTATCTTGGCAAAAGACTGACTCACACTAGTTACTTTTTTTAGGGTTTATTATATATTCTTAAATAGCAATAATTTTTGTCCTTTCTTTTTAAATATTTTTTTTCCACATAAAATTTGTACAATTTCTGGGAAAGATTACTTCTTTGAAAAAATTATGTTAAAAATGATTCACATTTCATATATGTGATGTCATTTTTTGTATTATGTGCGTTTCATATGTGAGAGTCACATTTCATATTATGTAAGCATAAAAAGGCGAGAAACCATCGACTGCATAGTTATCAAGAAGTCCATTTCTTGGCTTTCGCCGTTATTCCTTCATATGAATGACATAAATAATGCAGAATAGATTAAGACTCCATTCCTTGTTCTTTACTTTATCAAGTTCTTTAATTTTCAGTGAAGGAGACCATCTCTTGTTGGCTGACTTATCACATCATAACTTGTTGGCTGACTCAAAGACAAAACTTATCACATCTGGGTATTTCTTTTACCACATGGCAGCAACAGCATTCATATCGATGTTTACTTCTTTACCACGGGAGAAATTATGAGGTCCAGAAAAACTGTTTATTTTCCTTAAAAGAAATGGAATTATCATATTATACAACGAATCAATCGAGGTAAATGAATTTGCGTAAGAGGTAAGAGACAACGATAAAAAACACGAAACTTGAAAATTTGTCAAGTATTTGATAATATTTATTTCCTTAACTCTTTAAGAGCTCTGGTTAATTACTCTAACCACCTGTTTCCAAATTCTCCTGTCTATTTCCTGTTAATGGTTATAAGGAATTTTTGAAACTTTATTCATTCCTTTTATGTGTCGCTGTACAATATTACCTAATTTCTTTTATTGCTGGCACTGTTTGACAACAGGTCAACAGCGACGTATTATATACGCCTTTGGTACTTCAGTCAAGTTACAAAAGCGTATACACCAGCGGCACCTAAGAAATTAAAAGACATGAGCTTTCCGTAGAAGCTCAGGTCTATTTTGAAAGAAGCCCAGTCTGTGATGATGCTTACTCTGCAGTGCAAAGAAAGCCTACTATTGGTAGAATGCAATATGTGTAAAGTTGTGCTTTGTTTGAGAAACACTTCCGTAATTACCATACAAAGGATGATGATATATACTATACGTGTAAACTATTTACACTAAGCATTTAAAATTATACTTTAGGTATTCAATCAACAAATAAATGTTTTCATGATTGACCTTTTTATGACCATAAAAGGTTAACTAAATCAATATACGAATGCCACTGAAAAATTCCATTCTCCAGTTTATTTTATGAACTGAGTTAAAAATCATATAAGCTTATACACAGCTGCTAATATTTAGCAATGTAAGGCTGCGTTCAGACGACAACGTAAATGTCAGAGGCATACAAGGAATAAAATGCGGGAATTCCGTTTGGATGTGTCTACAGCTTTTCCGCGCTGTTTTCCCATTCAGGTTTCACATGTTCGCTCTGATTGTTCGACACTTATCCCAAGTCGGCATATACCCAAGTCACAAGATCTGGTTTAGGGCTCTTGGCATAAAGTTCGAAGTTCAACTTCGAACTTTGTGCCTAAACGCAGGTTTATAGACTATTAACTGACTTGAAGCAAAAGGAGAATAATAAAAAAAATATCTCCAAAGAAGACCAGTCTGGCACGAGAGGAGAAAACAGTAGCGCGTCATGTTCGAAAGCAATGCTGACTACGTATGATTTATTAATTAACTTACACTGTTAATAGCTTACTGAATACACTTTAAATTGACAGCGAATTGACATACATAGCATATAAAAACTGAATATATTTCTCATTTTTCAATTCATTTATTTAATTTTGAATTAATTTTACTGACTTAAAATAGTTAAATAAATAAAGTAATATTATATTAAGGTTGGCTATTTATGCAATATTTCCTTTTTTCATGAAATTCTAACACAATGTAATTTATGTACTAAGATATGTTTTCTCCACGATTTCATTTTAAAATGAAATAAAAAATACATAATTTAGAAATCAAACAACAAAAATCAGCGTTATATTTACAAAGTTTTCACAGGACTAGTTTCGATGGTTTTACCGAACCACCATCTTCAGCTGCAAAACCGCAAATGAACAAGATAGGAAATAATGATTAGATAAGATAGAAAGCCTGGACAAGAATAAGCAAGTGGCCCATCGGTGGTAAAACCAGAACTAAAAAATAATTTCTTTAAAGGCCGAAGGCAAAATTTGGATTGAATTAGGATCGTTAACTGACAAAAGATTTTTATGAGTGAAATGCCTCTAGAAAATCCAGTCTCCAATGGAAGATGTGTTTGAATAATTTTGGCAGCAGAAAAACTGAAATGTGGTTTTCGGACCAACAATGTTGATCAAACAGAAGAGTCTGTGTTTCCTTTTTTCTAACATATGCCTCATGTTCCTTGACGCGAAATTTAAGGCTCTTAGTTTGGCCAATAAATTAAACCACACGGCAAGGAATCCTATAATACCCCAGGAATCATCCGGATGGGTCCTGAGTATGGAACTCTGAATTTTATGATGGAGAATAAACAACCCGAAAGTTAAATTTCTGCAAAATATGTGCAACTTATAGCTATTGATGGAAAGAAGGGAATGACAACAGAATTTTATAATCTCCCTAAAACAAGATTGTGCCTTTTAGTGTGTTGAGATGAGAATTTTTTAACTGCTTGATTAATAATGTTGCATGGAAGCCCCTGTCAATAGCTACTGCTTTTAAATAATTTAGTTCTTCATCAAGGGATAGTTTGGAGGAGCAAACTTGAAGAGCAAGGAAAACATAGAAATAAAATGAAGCTAACTTTGCTTAGTCGGATGACATGATTTAAAGTGGCAAACCGATGAAGGTTTACAGTAAACCGTAGTACTAAAGTTGGATGTGTTCCTTGTGACCAGAATGTCGAGAAACGGAAGAGAATTGCAAGTCTCAAGTTCAAAAGTGAATTTTTTATGGTGTAAATGTTATTGTCTAATAGAGTTGAAAATCTAGAAACTAAATATTTAGCTAAATATTATTAATCAAGCAGTTAAAAAATTCTCATCTCAACACACTAAAAGGCACAATCTTGTTTTAGGAGATTATAAAATTCTGTTGTCATTCCCTTCTTTCCATCAATTAGCTATCAAAGTTGCACATATTTTGCAGAAATTTAACTTTCGGGTTGTTTATTCTCCCATCAATAAAATTCAGAGTTCCATACTCAAGGACCCCATTCCGGATATGATCCTGGGGTATTTATAGGATTCCTTGCCAGTTGGTTTAATTCATTGGCCAAACTAAGAGAGCCTTAAAATTTCGCGTCAAGGAACATGAGGCATAGTTAAAAAAGGAAACACAGAATCTTCTGTTGCTCAACATTGTTGGTCCGAAACCACACTTTCAGTTTTCTGCTGCCAAAATTATTCAAAAACATCTCCATTGGAGAACTGGATTTCTAGAGCATTTCACATTCATAAATCTTTCTGTTCTATTTAACGATGATAATTCCAATCCAATTTGCCTTCGGCCTTTAAAGAAATTATGTTTTAGTTCTGGTTTTACCAACAGATGGCGCCACTTGCTTATTCTTGTCCAGCTTTCTTTATCTTATCTAATCATTATTTCCTATCTTGTTCATTTGCGGTTTGCAGCTGAAATGGTGGTTTCGGTAAAACCATCGAAACTAGTCCTGTGAAACTTTGGTAAATATAACGCTGATTTTTTGTTGTTTGATTTCTGAATTAGTATTTATTCGGCGTGTTATTGTGTCTTAATTATAGAAGCCCCAAACAGGCTTACTTTTTGCTTTCTTTTTGCACGTGGTGGCCGCCATTTTGATTGCATGAATTTCGGTAAGTACTGTTTTTTGCAATTTTCAAGTTATGTTTTATTTTGTATATTTGGATATTGTCTTTGCTTGTCTGATTTCATATTTGCTTACAAACATTTTGTTTTCTATTCATTTCAAGGGATTTTTTCTGCATTTTGTGTGTACTTTATTTTGCTCCTTAATTTAGTTTGATTTTCTGCATTGTTTATCATGCCTTCATCCGTTAATCGTTTCACTAAATTACACCTGAAACGGCAAAAATTCCTGAATCATTTGACTTTTTACTTAAATGTAACGTAAAATTTATCCCCAATTTTATTCAAATCAATCTAATCAAAACCTTCGAGTCGCGTTTCAAGAATTCCTGTTAAATTGCAAGCCTTGCTTCTTCGGTCCGTCATAAGGTAAGCAACAATTGTCCAAAATTGAATGAACTCTATGCTTCATCTGGAACTCTAAATCATATCCAAATTCCTGTCCCTTGAACAAGTCTTGCTAGAACGGAGAATGCAGGTACCGTCATAAACACCCTTGCAGTTAACGAAAAACTTCTTTTACAAGCTTCCATTCAAGTAGTTCAAAAAACTTCCCATTGTAAACATCAAGCCATTAATATTTCTAATCTTAGTCTTTAGAAGAACAAGAGAGAATTCTAAAATAAATTTTTTAACTTCTCACAAACCTTAAAACCCTCGATTCCAAGATTTTAGCTCCTATCGAAAAGCTTTCAAGTTCAGTAAGTTTCAGATTCACAGAAAGATGATTAGCATCGCTCATAATGGAAATTCATAATAAACCTTTGAAACCACTCTACTGCGAGAGAAAGAGCTACATTGCGTGAAATTCATTCTAACGCGATATTATTATTTTCAAGGCCCGACAAAGGTGGCCATAGTCAGGATAGGAACACTTAATCGATGGCGTCACTAAACTCTAAACGAAGGACCATATAATCCGATCCAAAGATCCTTCACCTCGATTGTCAAAAATAAACTGCGATCAAATCTTCGCAAATCATTCACCAACTTAAAACATTCACTTATCCCATCTTTGCGAATTGTTCCAGATTTATATGCTCTTCCCCAATTCAAAAATGGTATTCCTTTCCGCCCTATTTTACAAATTTAGGTACTGCCTCGTATCCATTAGCTAAATATTTAGTTCTAGATTTCAACTCTATTAGCACTAACATTACACATAAAAATTCATAGAGTTTGTAAAAAGGTTAAAAATTTTCCTCGAATTTACTCATGGTTTCTTGATGTAAAATCATTATTCGCCATGTCCCTGGAGGTGCATTAAGATGTCTAGAACCAGCTTCGCGAATTTCTTTCTCTGCATCGAAACGGATGACTAATTTCTCTCACTCAACTCTGTTTGAAACACACATTTTGTTTTCCAAAATAATTTACAAGCACTGAGGGATTAGCCATGGGAGCCCCCTCATCCCATCCTGGCTGATATCTATGCATTATATAATCAAAATTGTTTGAAACTTTAAACTTCCCGGCATGGTTCCGCTACGTAGACGATACTTTACTCTGTTTGAAGGTAATAAGAGATTTAAATAAAGTTCTTTTCAACAATGAATTCTATTGATCCTGCTATTCAGTTCACTTTTGAACTTGAGACTTTGCAATTCTTCCGTTTCTTCGACATTCTGGTCACAAGGAACACATCCAACTTAGTACTACGGTTACTGAAACCCTCATCGTTTGCCACTTTAATCATGTCATCCGACTAAGCAAAGTTAGCTCATTTTATTCTATGTTTTCCTTGCTCTTCAAGTTTGCTCCTCCAACTATCCCTTGATGAGACTAATTAATTTAAAGCAATAGCTATTGACGGGGCTTTCCACGCAACATTATTAATCAAGCAGTTAAAAAATCTCACTCAACCACTAAAGGCACAATCTTGTTTTAGGAGATTATAAAAATTCTGTTTCATTCCTTCTTTCCATCAATTAGCTAAAGTTGCACATATTTTGCAGAAATTTTAACTTTCGGGTTTTTATTCTCCCATCAATAAAATTCCGAGTTCATACTCAAGACCCCATTCCGGATTGAATTCCTGGGTATTTATAGATTCCTTGCCAGTGTGGTTTAATTTACATTGGCCAAACTAAGAGAGCCTTAAAATTTCGCCGTCAAGGAACATGAGGCATTTTAGAAAAAGGAAACACAAAATCTTCTGTTGCTCACATTGTTGTCGAAAACCACACTTTCAGTTTTTCTGCTGCCAAAATTATTCAAAAAAATCTGCCATTGGAGAACTGGATTTTCTCTAGAGGCATTTTCACATTCATAAAAATCTTCTGTTCTAGTTAACGATGAAATTCCAATCCAAATTTGCCTTCGGCTTTAAAGAAATTATGTTTTAGTTCGGTTTTACCAACAGATGGCGCCACTTGCTTATTCTTGTCCAGGCTTTCTATCTTATCTAATCATTATTTCCTATCTTGTTCATTTGCGGTTCTGCAGCTGAAGAGTGTTCGGTACAACCATCGAAACTAGTCCGTGAAACTTGTAAATATAACGCTGATTTTTGGTGTTTGATTTCTGAATTAGTATTTATTCGGCGTGTTATTGTGTCTTAAAAAAATACATGTTTCTGTCTCTTCTTCTATTGATTAAACTTTGATTTCTGATATAATTAAGACACAAAGTAAGCCAATTTTAAAAAACGAAATCTTATATGGACACCATATGACTTCCTTATATCGCATACTATACACATTTTTTGCTGCACTTTATTTAAACTTATTTCCTCAACGTATTGTAACTTAATCAATTCCTCAAAGCCAATTGAAAATGACATCGAAAATGGCAAATTTTGAAATTAAATATCCTGGTCAAGATTTGTCAAACGGAAATGAAACTTCTTAAAATTTTATTTTTTTCATAACGAATATAAAATTTTTCCAAGTATAAGTATAGGAATCGAAAGACCACATTAAAGTTAGATTTCATTATTTGCAAAATAAATTTTTGTTTTTTGATTTAACACTGACAAAGCATGAATATTTCCATCATTTAAAACACTTCTGTAATAAGTTAATTAATGCTTTTTCTGGCCTTTTATATCTTCATGTACATTCCCTTTTCTTATTATATATATTTTAAATTTAAATTTTTATTTTTTGATTTGTTTTTGCAAAGATTGCATTATATTTATTATATTTCGTAATTTTCTAATGTTTATTTCAATTACGTTGAGTTCTATTTCATAATGCCAATTTCCAACGTTTAATTTTTTACAAATAGTTTTGAATTAAAATGCATAAACACGAGGGTGTCGGGGGACAATTACTCAATTTATCATTTATTTGCATAAATTGCTTTTTTAAATTCAAAATTGAATTAGCAAAAATGCTTAATCAGAATGAATTCTATGGTGCTCTGCATTGGTTCTTGATACCTTCAATTCATGGAATTATTTGGCCTAACTTAAACTGCCAGTTTGGCATCACCTAATTACTTGAGTAAAAGACGAAACACCTTCGTATTTATTTCTTAATTATTGTTCATTGAACGGGAGTTGGTTTGTTCCCCTTGAAAAGTCAACTAATTTCCGATCAATGGCAATGATTACTTGCTTTTAACTTAAGTACTTGCTTTTAATTTAATTTCTTTTTACAATTGAAATTTCGTTATTCGTGATTTAATTCAAGTCCTCGTTAAACATTTTTAACAATTTACATTCATTCTTTTTAGATAATTCTACTAAAATTAATCTTAGGAGATAATATAATCAATATTTCTTTTCTATTGCGCAGTAGTAGAATAACTTGATTCCGCACTAAGTGAATTTAAGATCATACAACATATATATATAATACTGATTTTTACTTCTGATTTTTAAACACCTTCCTTGCATATCTCTCTCTATATATATATAGATATGCAAGGAAGGTGCACAGCTAGATGTTATAGCAGTCCCATATACAAAATTTCAAAGTTCTTCGGCTAATCATTTTGGAGTTAGGCGAGATAGATAGATACATAAATAAGTACGTTCAGACGTGACGAAAAAATCCATTTTATAATCAATTGTGGGGGAAGGAAGAGTCCTTTATTCTGCACATACAGTGCAGACGTCGATTAAAAAAATAGTCATTGAATTCGGAAGATGTAAAAATGCATATTTCCAATGAAATATGATACCCGAAATTTTTCGACTATAAACTGCCTTTACTCCGTACAAGGAAGTATAAAAAGGAGCATCTATTATATGGGTTCAGAGATTAAAAAAGATTATCAATGAAAGATCATTAATTTTTTCTTTCTTCTGATTTTTAAACATTTCCGATGAAACGAAAAACTGAATTATGGGGTTCATAACATAGCATTTATTTATAAACTCTTCAGAAGAAATCTACCGTTTGTGATAAGACATTGAAGAAAAGAAGGACAGGGTATCCTACCTTTGCACATAGGATAGTTGTTTTCTCCTGCCAGCTTCTTTCTGAGCAAATTTTCCAAAATTTTTCAAGCTAACAGCTCTTTTTCCATTGACGATTGTGCCGTATTCCTTATTTTTCTCATCATCTTCATCATCTTCAAAAGCATCATTGATAAGGCCGACTCCTGAAGTATTTGGAGTATGAATCATGGAGAATTGAACGGGTTTCAAAGGGGCTGAAGGCTGCAGGCAAGCATGCTCCCGAGTTGGTGATGTTGTGACTGTTGAATCTTGTCCAACGAAATACCTATAAGGAGTATCATAATCTACTTCGAAGATGGTGGAGAATTTGTTTGGGTAGAAATTGTCAAGTATGGACATTGCAGTTCCAACGATGACCGATAGTATACCTGCACATATATTAGCAAATTATAAATTATTATTATTTTCCTTACTGGAAAACAATCGTTATTAGTAAGGAAATGATATCATTCATATATGTTTACAGTAATAAAATCAAATAATTTATTAACATATTAAACGCAATCAAAAGGCGATTTTATAAAGTGAAAAAATACAAGGTATAGCTAAGAATATTTTTACTTTATGTGCAGTATTTAACCAGTGGGAGTACAAACTGCATTAAAGGTAGAATGGAAGTTTAATGTTCAAAATTTTACTTTTGACAAAAATATTTCATGAATTAGGCTAACCACATGAAGAATAAAAATGTTAGAAATGAGCAAATGAGCAAACGGCGATTCAAAAAAAGTTCAGGAATAATTATTTGCTAATTTTCAGTATTGAGTCATATTGCTCAAAATTTGTTGCATCTAATAAGAACGTTTTATAAATTTTTTGAATGGAATTGTGATATTAATGAAAAGTAATTGATGAAATTGTCAGTTTTTTTTTAATTTATGGGCATTAGTGAAAGTTCTTTGCAAATATTAAGGAAATCTGTTGTTTGTGGGCAAAAATATGAAATCTAAATTTTATGAAATAATAAATGATAATAAATGATGATTTTATGAGATAATAATTTATAAATATTATTTTTTTATAAAATCTAAATTTTTATTTAAATATCAATTTAAAGCTTTAAAAATGTTAAGTTACTGTTTGTAATAGCAATAGGTAAAACATTTTATAAGGGAAATGGTAGTCATGTTGTCTCTTCTTTCGCCTTTCATACTGCTTGTTTGCTGTTTTCGTAATGAATATTTTTCTCATCCTTTCAAAACATTTTGGGTATGAGGAATGTTTTCAAGTATTTATATCGCTGAAACGATACTTTTCATTTAGCACCCCTCAGTACAAACAATTTGACTATCATAAAGGTAATATCAAAATTTGCTCGAAAGCAACATTTTGGCAAATACTAAATAAGTAAATTGTATATTTAAAAAATATTATTACCTATTGCGTTTTTCATGTCATTCTTGATAAATCATTGAACATTTAATACGCTTTTTTTGGCATCCGAATGCTATACGATCGTTTTCAAAGGAAAACAAATTATATCAACATTTGTCGAGTTTATGTATCGCAGGGTTCATTCTCATATCCTCAGAATCATCTTGGGATCATAGAATGAGCTTAATAGTGCATGATATTTGGTTTTGGCTGTTGCTGGGATATGCGATTCTTGTCTAGAAAAGGATAATAATTTTGCACAGGACAAGTGCGGGAATTTAGCTTGTACGGCTATTAAAATCGATAGGAACCGTAAAGGTACCCAATCATCCAATCCTTATTGTCTCCAGAAATAAAATTTCGGTTAATTTACCCAGTGCATTTTTAGTATTTATGAATGTTGGAGGATTGTGCAGCCCTCTCACGCCTGATCGAATTAAAAGCCAAAATACACTGACTAATAAGTATTTTGACCAATAAGTATTTGGACACCTATGCAAATGACGATATATGCGGTCCTAACGTACGTCACGGACTCCTCCAGTATATATCGTGTAGGAAACAGCATCGGCTTTAGTCGCATGCAAGATGCCTCTCAGTTCGGAGCTCTCTGATTTCGAGAAAGGTATAATTATCGGGTATCACAAATGTGGCCGATCCTTAAGGGACATATCTAGCGATCTGAAGTACCCAAAATCGACAGTGGCCTATGTGATTAAGAAGTGGAAGGTGAGCGGTGATTGTCGGAATGTGCCCCGAGTCGGCAGACCAAAGAAACTGGGAGAGAGAGACCGACGAGTACTGTCCAGAGAAATTCGGAAGAACCGCACCCAACTGATGGCCCTCATCCGCGAAGAGTTTCAACAGGCATCCGAGAGTATTGTTCAATGAATACCATCCGTAAGGAAGCACATCTGCTTGGTTTTCATGGTCGTGCTGCTGCCCATAAGCCTTTGATCACAAAGTCCAACCGCGCTGCTCGGTTAATGTGGTGCAAAGCACATCGAAATTGGACCGTAGATCAGTGGAAACGGGTTCTTTGGAGTGACGAATCAAGGTGCACCCTTTACCGTTCGGATGGCAGGGTCAGGGTCTGGGCCTGGCGTCTACCTGGAGAACGTCTCCTGCCAGAATGCATTGTGCCAACAGTCAAGTTCGGCGGAGGTGGAATTATGGTCTAGGGGTGTTTCTCCTGGTATGGGCCGGGACCCTTGGTCCCCATTCATGGTAAGCTCAACTCCGATGCCTACTGCACTATTTTGGATGACAATGTGCTTCCTACGTTGTGGCAGTTTTACGGGTTGGACCTCTGTTACTTTCAGGATGACAATGCCAGTTGTCATGTTTCGACGTTAACCAAGGATTGATATGGTGCCAATGGAGTTCATCGAATGGACTGGCCTGCCCAGAGTCCAGACCTGAACCCTATCGAGAACCTCTGGGACGAGTTGCATCGCGGAATTCAGGGGTGCACTACCCGTGCAAAATCGGTGAAGGAACTTCTAGGTCTTCTCCAAGCCGAGTGGAAGAAAATACCACTAGCTGTCATACAAAGACTTGTGGAAAGTATGCCCCGGAGGGTCCACGCTGTAATTACCTCTCGTGGAGGCTATACCAACTATTCATTTTGAATAAAGTTAGTTTTTCTTTTCTATCACAAATGTCCAAATACTTATTGATAATCAGTGTAGAAAACTTTTAAGATAAGATCCGAAATAAATAAGATTACGTTTATTGACTCCCTGAAGGAATGTATCATCAGAAGACTGGAAATATCAAATGCCAAAACTAAAAACAATAACAGTACATTTTTGATTGAACTATAAAATGTTAATAGCTTACACATAATATTAAGATATATTAGAATGATCTGCCTGATTATAACCTGACATTCTGAAAATACTTTTGTATTTGCTTTAAGTTTTTTTTTTTTTTTTTTTTTTTAAGAGATCGCTAAAAATCAGCTTATTTTGCTTTTAAAAGACTTTTCCTCATCGAGCTGAAAGTAAAATAGATTATCACTAATCACTGCAAGCAAAGTTTAACGTAAATGTTTACTTGCTGGCACCGTAATTGTTTACTTCCAGTCACTAAGTGCTCATTTTACTGAAGATTGGTGCATCGCCGTTTGTTGTTCATGAACGAACCACGTTTTCACGTTTTTTCGTAAATTTGTACGGTTTTCATAACATGTTCATCAATAATTAAAGAATGACATTATTAGCTATTTTAGTCGAAAATTAGTAAAAATTGTAATATTACGTTATCCACTCAACCGTGACAAGAATCCCCGGGCAAAACGCTACGTCGTCGTAGTAGGCAACTCAGAATTTTACAAAAAATATATTTTACCTGACAACCCATTAAATTCGCGCAACTTTGGAATGCCGAAGCTTAAGTTTGTGATTCCTGCTTGTGATTAGTAGCTTCCCCTCGCCTTGTAACGAACTATAATGCAACTGTGGAGTTCGCATTTTCTTTCAGAAATATGGTGTTTTGCCTTAGTAGTAGCTTAGTAGTAGTAGAAATGCACATCCCATAAAATTGTATTTTGCAAACAATCAAAATGTCTGCGTTATCTTGAGAAATTCATTTGGAGAAAGTGTCTGGATGAAAAGGAAAAGAAGTGTTTCAATGAGATTTTAAATCAGATATTCACTGGCTGTAAAAATGTAAATATTGTTCGGATTGATTTTTAGTATTATTGTTGAACTAATAAAATGCATATAAAACGGTTCATTTGGCTTTTGTTTATCTCCGCTGTTATAATATTATAGAAAGCTTGTAGCTCGAAGGTAGTTTATGAACTGTTCTTGGGTTATTGTGATAATAGTTTTCTCCGAATGAGTGCAACTCTCCGATTATTTTTTAAAAATTAAAACAAGTCGATGTGTGCAAGAAGAGCACCGTCAGTTCGCTCTGCAATATCAAGAATTCTGCAGTTCTCTGATGTTTTTTGAAGTTAAAACAGATCTCTGTGCACACGGACAGAAGACCAAGAAAATAGAAAGTTAAGTATTTTATTATGGGTGTTTGTTGCTTTTTCAATTAAGTCAGTATTTTACAATTTTATGAAATTTTGAGTGTTTCGTTATGGATGTTTGTTTTATGTAATTTTTACTGTTTCATTACGCATGTTTCTTGCGTTTTTAATTTCGTTAATTCGTTGGTGTTTTAAGTAATCTCCATCATGCCGTCATCTTTTAAAATGGCTACGGTTTTTCATGTGAAGTTGGCGAAAAATTAGTAGTCAACGTTTGGTGATTTTGCAGGATATTTGAGTGGAAATGCGATAGTACCTTAAAAATATGTTTTGTTATTTCTAAAGGCTAAAAATTTTTAAAAGAACTTAATCATAATTTATTTGTGCAACTCTTTACAGGCAAGAAATATTCAAAATATTATAAATCTTTCAACATATTTTAGGAGTCATCTTCGTTTGCGAAGTTATTTTTCTAAGCTTTCAAATGTATTATTATCAGAGTCAGTAAGAAAATGTACCAGTGAAAAAGACTCTTTTTAACTATGATTTGTTTTGGTTTATGCAGCGCTATCACATTCCCTTCAAATTTACTACATTTAAAGATTAAGAGATAGTAATCAGTTACTATTTGCAGAATAGTAATCAGTTACTCACGTTTTCCAGGAATAGATTTTAATTGAAATTGGCTAATGCCAAACAATTTCACACAGTGTTAGATTTGTAGTTTAAGTGTTGTTATTGAATTTCATCGCCTAAAATGCTTGATTGCCGAAGCGAAAAAAACCTAGCTACTTGAAAATATTTTGTCTGCCTTCGTGGCGAAATATGACTGCAGTATTTGCGAAAGTTGCTTTTTTGAAATATCGCCATAGTTGCATTCGACTTATATGTGACAGTTAACTGCATAGTAAAATACAAAACAACGGCATGTCTTTTTTATAACGAACAATGAGTTGGCATGAAAGCATTTTGATGCCCTCAGGCCAGTCACAAATCATGTTTTGGAGGTACTAAAATGGAGTCTTTAATGATCGTACATAAATACACTCGTCGCCCTGAGCTTGATTTTAGTCTTGAAGCAAGTATGTTTTACACAATTCGTTTGTTATATTAAATAAACAATAAACACCTTGGATAGTAGCAATACGTTTAATCAAATAAATCATTCTTGATATTATCATAAAAACAATGTTTCACTTTGAGTAATTTAAAACTAAAGAATTGGATAAATATCAGAATTACACAATATAATATCTGGAAAATAATGAATATGCATCATCATTTCACTTAGAAAGCATCTGTGACTTTATGTATATCTGTAAGGTAATCAAATTTGCTCCACACTGTGCCAAGAATTCCTTATGCAACACAGTCTTACAAGTATACAAGACTAAATAACTTCTACAAGTCTCTTTCATAATTCTTGGATATCACATAGTAAAAATGAGATATATCTTAAAATTCTGTTGTAGTTTAAGAAATATTTCACAAATTAAGATGAAGAATCTTATTCGCGGTGTCTTATGTGTCAATTCTAGTCCGCCCAATCTACCAATTTCTCCGCCTACAGTGTTATCTGATGTTCAAAATGACTGCATTTTCAGTTGGCATGATAGGCCTATCAGATGTTCTCTTTCCAGGTTTGAATTTTCTTTTCAGCTGGTATGTCTGAAGTTATTATTTTCTGTAGTTTGTGTTTCTTTATTACTTATCTTAATTTCTAAAAATTGAATACATAACATTTTTTGTGGTAACTATTAAACGGTCGAAATTTCTATATAAATAATCTATATTTCTTTCTTTAAAGACTACAAATAATAAGCCTGACATCAGGCTTTCTGTAAATATCTTTGATGTTGTGAAGGATTTACTAAGGAAAGGCCGAGGAATTTCCTTTTCGTAACTTGATATTCTCTCTTTTATTCACTGAATTATTTAAATCTTTTCAATACCAATGTATTTTCTTACACATGACTAATTTTTGGATATTGTATAATGCGTGCCAGTTTTATGCAGCATGCATTTAATGAAATTGGATTTTATTTACTTTAGATATTTTTTCAGTTTAAGATAGCTTCTCAGGCGTAGTAGGACAAAGAGGTCTCAATTTTTTTAAGCTTAAAGGGCCATGAATTTTCTCAGACATATAAGCCTAAACAAAATAAGCATATTTGAGTTTCACGTAGGAGGAAAACAATTTATATTTTCAGTTGGTAGTACAGACACTGGAAAATTTCATCTAGAAATTTTATTACAAAATTTAGAGTTTGTCAAGCAAAAACGGAAAGTGCCAAAGCCAGAAAATCTTTCATTCATTACTTTCTGAAAATAGTAAACTCAATTAAAAACTATTTTTACTAATGTACTTATCGTAATAATGATGTTTCAGGAACACAGTATTTTTAGTTGTTTACTTTCGATATATTCATTGTAGGGATATTTTCTGAAAAGAAATTTACACTTACCAGCGCCCATCAAAGCCCAGAAACACCATCCAAAGGAAAAGGTAAGCACTTGCATTTCAAAGTGAATGATTAGTGGTATCTTTGGTAGCATGAGAGCATAAAGACCATTGCATGACAAGATAAGAATACCGGTGAGTACCATAGTGTAAGCGCCATACCGTGGTACCATGCACAAAAGAATATTCATTACCATCCACACTGAAAAAGCTGTCCTATAATAGAAGCAAATAAAGGCAGTAACACCATAGGAATGATAGCAAATATTCAGACGAGAATACATAGTAGTCAAAGAACATGACAGTACATAACAATATACCTTGAGTACAGACATTTACTGTCAGAAATAACGCACACTGAGACACAGATTATAGTTTAATTCTAATTAAATAATTAGATATACACATAGTTAAGAGTACAAATTTATATTTACATAAACATATGTCGTGAATGTTATAATTTTGAAACAAATGACAAAAAAGCTTAATTTTTCAATACTTTTTTATTTCCTTAACGAAGCAAATACTAGTTGATTCTCAGCTATGTTACAAAAGCAGCTTTTAAATTGCTTTAATGGCCTTTCGTTCAACAGAAACTATTAAGGTGTGTTGTAAAATAGTAATAATTAAAAAAAAACAGTAAAAAGAAGAAAGGCGGTTATAAATTTGAACAATGGGATTTTGCTTTCGAGAAGCTAAAGTAAAATGCAAAAAGTGATTGACGCACTCCTAATTTTTTTTTTGAGTCATTCATATGGTATGCATCTCATACTATTATATGAATACTGTTGAATGTTAGTTGATTCGTTAGTGATCTTCTGAAAAAGCAGGCAAAACAAAAAGGAAATTACAGTTCTAGTTTGATAACAGAGTTTACACAAACATTAAAAGGATAGAAATATTATTACTGCTAATGCTTTTCTCTAATACGACTACTCACGATTCAAGATAGTTCGGTCCTTCGTAAGAACTTGTGGCACTTTAAAATTTATTTATTCGGTAGACTGCACAAATAATATCTGAAGACTATTAGTTGCCGTAAGGAAAGTGATGTTCAATATTGATTTTTATTTAATTTTTCTATAAAATACTGTACATAGTAATCATCTTCAGGAATGTTAACAGGAAAATTATCTCAGGTTCAGTTCCAATACGTCATGATTATTCGCTGTCAAAAATTCACAGTACCGAAGTTGAAAAGATTGATTTCCCAATCGGTCATTGAGCTAAAACTCAAGAATAAACATTCACAATTGAATACTTAAACGCGTAACTCAACTTTCGGCATCTGCCACCGCATTTTATGTGCTGTTTTAGAGCAAACAGAAATGCGCCTAAGTTATTCATTTTATAATTAATCTTCTTAATCTTTTACTTCGATTTGGATGTTGAATAGCTTTCAGTAGGTTTAAATTTTACTAAAAAACAACATCACATTGTGTATATACTTTCATTGTTTGTATTTGTAATTTGTATTGCATTTATCGTTTACCTTTTAATGGTTATGTTCGAAAAATCAATGACCAACCAATTTATATTCAGCCAAATGATCCTTGGATCAACTTGTCTGTTTATTTCAGAGCCATATCGAGGCTACCCTCGTTTTCCACCTTTATATTACAACCCGATTCGTATATACTATTTTTTGTTCCTGAATTCATGCACTAAGAACATTTTACCGCTCTTGCATTTCTTAAAATGCATTTTTCAAGCTGGTTTCTTTAAGAATTTTTCAAGCTGGTTTCTTTAAACATTCTTAAGTTCTTGATTACAAGAAAGAATTTTAGTGAGGATAAATGCTGTTACCTCTTTGTAAGCAGAAAGCCTTCCTACTTTATATCTGAAATCCTTTTTAAACATGTCGAGGAGATGATTGTTTTCAATAACTGAATTTCATGTCCTAGCGCAATAAAATACGTTGTCACGTTGAGGAAAGAATTTGTTCGTGCTCAAGGAAATCTGTATCTGTCAGTCTGAAGTCAATCTGAAGCTGTGTTTTTAATACTTCATTAAATAAGTTCTCCTCTTCATATTACGTTAGTTTACAATAAAATAGTATCTTTACATATTTTCCGCCTAAAAATTTGTATCTCTTTAATCTTATGATTTATATATTCTTTAAAGGTTAAATGTTTTGCCCAAAGTTTTGAAGCTTCAGTGTTAAAATCTTTGAGGTATTAGATTCTAATTTGAAGTGTTCTAAGTGTAATTCTCATTTTTTTCCCTTTATCACCCAATCAAGAATTATGTTACGCTTTTAACTTGATTCCGAGTCTTAACAATGAAACTCTCTCTATCTAGACCTTAAGTTTTCCCAAAGAAGTCACAAGATTTTCATTTTTTTTAAGTACCAGTGTGATCAAATTACTTGGAAACTATGTACGAATAATTTTCAAAATGTAAAATCCTCAAGGGTTATTGAAGAGCGCATTGTTTCAAATTTGGAAAAAACAACAACTACAAAATACAAAAAGACCTGCAATCTATATGATACTAAAAATTTTCATTATAACTATTAAACTTTTTTTCTGGATGCAAAAGACAGGAGTATTAGTACTTTAGAATTTTTCAATCCTCAAATTATAGTGTGTTAAAAATCTACTTTATTTTTGACAGTCATGCTACAAAACAGCAGTTCTAATAAAATTTTGTTTAGTAGTCCAGGTAAAATGACATTTTAAGCCATTAATATTATACCGAGCAACACATTTATATAATACAGAAGATAAATGAAACATCGAATGAAATTATCGACATTTCGCAATTGTGATAATACATTGCAGTTCTGATTTATCAAACACTGAAAAAATAAACATGTTGAAGAAATTTAACTTCAAGGTGTTTAAAAACCTTTCTTTCTGATATAATTTTCAAGGATATCAGAAGGGTTTTAGTTCTGATTTGGATACTCTTAAGGTTAGTTTTATTCTCGTCACAGATATCTACAAACCAAACTCTCTAATCAAAGGACAGAAATAATAAATTATTCAAAATAACGTAAATGATAAAATATAATTACGAGTTTCGTCTTTTCCTAACAGTTCTTTAACAATCTACGGAATATGAAAATAACAATTATAGCAGTTCTTCATATAAGAAATGAAAGCATTAAAAACACATAATAGAGTCTTACCACAGCAAAATGGAAGTATAATATCCTGCTTTTCGATATTTTCCACCCCAAGAAAATCCCTCCATATTCTGACTTAAGTATTCAGCTATTGTTAGAATTGGGAATGGAAGGCCTTTAATTAAAGCTTCACGGAATTCAGTCTTTAGCTGGGTCGCTAGAGAATACAGGAAACAAAAAGATAATGATTCATCAAGATATTATGTTTGATTTTTTAAAATAAAAATTATCAAATTCTTACACATACAAACTGATTACCCTGGACGGTATAGTGGTTATTGGAGACTAACTGCTAGGTCGAAAATCAAGGGTTTGGGTGCGACTTGGCTATATATCGCATTCCCCCCTCCCCTATCTTCGCGGGTTGTGGTGCGCCCTCGGCAACCTTCTCGGTGATAAAATGGTTAGTATATCGATGGGATCCGTTATTCCCAACGAGCTGCCCCCCAAACAAATGTCTGAACCTTAAAAAAGATACACAGATCCCTTATGACGGTTGCCAGTTATTGACTCATCAGTTACCAGTCAATATTTAAGCAAAAAATATTTAAGCTTGCTGTATTTTAGTAAATTTGTAAAGATCTTAAGTCTTACTAACGTTTATTTTATTTTAAATCTTTACTATCACTTCTTATTTTCTACTTCCGGCCAGAATTAAAAGCGTTAACTTATTTGTGCAAAATTTGTCTGGCGAACGCCAAGTACTTAAGTTGTGGCTTTTTGCCAAGCGAGAGAGAGGAAGGAGTTAGTCGAAGCCAGGCCGCTTACCTTAGAAGTTTTACTCAGTTGCTAGTTGCCTTCCAGGCCAGAGGTTTAATCCTCGTGATAATTTTAAACGTATTGTAGTGTTAACAGTTCTCTGTACTACATACGGCTTCCTGTTAATAACCGGCCAATCTTCCACGTTTATTATTCCAAAGTTAAGTTAGAGTTTAGTTAAATATTTTTATATTCTTACGTTCAGACCACAAGTAGTTGGTCTCTGTATTCCGAAGTACGGAAATTATTGTAAAGAGTGAAAAATAAAGGTTTTGTATACCCTTCCTGTGTATCTTGTCTACTTCCCACAGTTATTGAACAGAGCTTTAGTAAGCTCCCTGTTCCGAGTCAGGTCTTTGCATGTTTCCAAAGAAAGTAAGGCGGGACATTGAACCTGATAAATTAGCTGAATTATTCGATTCCGCAAGGGTAAAAGGTGGGCCAGCGCAAGAATCTGAGCGACCAATGCAACTGCACTGGGAGACAAAACTTTGTCCTACGCGAATAAACATACTACTGTTTAATAATATAAAAAATAGTATGCAAAAAAAAGCAAAAATTTACCTTAAAAAAATCCAATGTGGACACCAGATTATCTGATTGACCTCCTTGTAGGGCTATTCTATTATAGACATTTTTCTTTTTGGCTGCTCTTATTTAAACTTATTCCTCGAGTTATTCTAAATTAATTAACTAATCCCTCAAGGACAAGTTGAAAGTTACATCCAAAGAACTATTCGGCGGCTTAATTTAGGAGCGAAAGAGATTGCAAAAATGTCTAACGTCACTCTGTGTAGGTGATACCGTATTGCGAGCGAGGATAAAATGGAATTTAGTGATGACTGCTGAATCACTAAATTTTCTCATCAAATGTCGAAATTTGTCCAAATCGAGCAAATTTGTTAAGCAAATCGAGCAAACTGATTAAGAATAAAATCATGTAGCATTCATATAATGAATAGAAATTAGTAGGAAATTAATAGAACTTTAAGAATAGACAGAGTGATAGCATTTGCTTAAATTTTCTGTTTCACAATTTTGATATAAAACTCGCTATTGCTAGCAGCCCGTGATTTTATGTTAAGTCACACATGACCAACAATTTTATGATGACTAATTTTTTTCTTTTCTTTTTTGAACACATATTAAAAGTGTGAAACATTTGTATATGTAATAGGATGACATAGGGAAAGCTGCAACGAATTGGCAATGGTTCTCTGCGTTATAACCTGGAGAGATTTTATTGCGTTCTACGTATAGTTTTATTCCTGGGCAATGAATCCTGAGGAAAAATATTCCTTTCCATTTCACATCATCACTGTGGGTGCGCTATGCACCCCAAAACTTTATACAGATCATAATTTTAGAACAATTGACAATAGCTGGCAGAGGCTAAGCAAGAAAATTAGCAACTTAACAGGAAGAGAGGCAGAAGCTAAAGTTCGCAGTTATCCAACATGGAAGCTAACCAAGAGAAAGTTTTGATTTAGGTTGCTTATTATTAAGAGAAAGGTTTCAGTTCTCGAAATTTTGAGTTCAGGTTCTGAATTAGCTACATCATCAGTGTTACGCAAGTTATATGAGAGTTGAAATGTCATTTCTTGTGAAAACATTAATTATTTTCTGAGCTCTTTTAGAAATCGTCATTAATTATGCTCCATGTTTTGTGCATATATATATATATCTATATTTCTTAATAAACTTTATTTAAAATATCTCATTAAAGCATTTTTAATCAAATTCGCGGTGCAAAATGTGCAGAAAACTTTGCATAAATTCGTTTGTTTTTATCTCATTAGAAATTAATCTTCAGATTTTCCCTATATTTAATATTCAAATTTGTATTAAATAATCAGATGCTTCTCCTTTAATTCTTTTTTTAAGTATTTAAAGAGAAAAGAAGGCAATTAAATTTCCAGTATAAGGGTTATTATTACATACCAATCTAATATTACTGTGATATGTTATTAACTCTTTGCAGGCTTATCACAGTGTAAATAAA